GGGTGAGGGCGTTTTCATACACGTTTGGCCAATCAATGTCTACTTACGTCACGGGTAGTACCAGGTGTGCTGGTTAGACCCTGCTCCGGAGTAGGAGCTAATTTGGTTCTCGAAAAAAGGCAGTCCGGTACTAAAATCACACCCAGTTCCAGCGGTGAGAAAACGCCAAAAAGTGGGTAGTTCCACAATTAGTTCTGGTACTATGAAAAGGTTCCCACGGTGCGAAAGGCCCTAATAAGAACCAGTTCTCGGTTCCCAACCCTATTCATGACATCATTGGGTAGGACTTATTTTTTTATATAGGCTACTGCTAAAAATGACAGCTATAACAGTGGTAGCATGTGCTTTTACTGTCTACTCTAAGCTAAACTAAAGAAACAAGGTTAAAAAAACTTGACCATTTGTATCTGAAAGCACTGAAGCAAAATCTTTCCACAGGAAATCTACCACTAAAAACAACCTGCTTTCCTTTCTCACACTAGTCAGAACTACTGTTTAGCTAGTGGAGAAAAAAAATATTAACTTTGCAATAAAGTCCATTCATTGTTTGTGACAGACACAGAGCTGCACACAAAAGTCAATACGGGGTCATAAGACTACTCGTCATTCTGTACAGACCATACTGTCAACACTGATTCAACCTTAAACACATTTCCATTTCATACACAATCAGCGCTAAAGGGTTAAACGACACTATGAAACAGCCAGAGAGTGTGTGACGATGAGACATCAAAAGACCACTTAATAAAGTGCTTTGCACAGGAAAGGTGTCTGCTGTGCCATTAATAACCTCAGTAATCTTCTGCCTGAAACCAACTAATCTCCACTTAACCCTGTTAGACATCTAAGCATTCACTCACAAATCTACAATCAGCAAGACGGAAACCATTTAGGCCTTGATGGGTTTGAAACTCGTCTCATCGTGCTTTTTCCTGAGGAATAAACAAGACACAAAAACACAACCAGTTCCCAGTTGTGCCTGCACACATGCTCTAAGCATACGGTTTCATCAAAAACACCTGGAATCGAATGTGTCCACTAGACAAGACTTATTAAACAAGCAAAACGCAAGATTGTATATGCAAAGACTAATAAAACATAAAAAGGAGCATGCTGAATGGACAATAGTTTTTTTCAGCAGGGTTATCATTAGTATTATCATTACTCCAATGATAAAGAAACAAACATGGCAGATTAGAGGGAATCATGAAATTGAGGACAACACAGAATATGACCTACATGAGAATGCAGCTGATGGGGAAGATATGAATGAAGAAGAAGAGCTCCCTGCTGAGACTAAACATGACACAGTCAACAATGAGGACATCTACAGTTTACACATGGAAGTGTGCTGTTTTGGCACGTGCTTGTCTTTGATAAAGACGTCAATATATTTCATAAATGCTTGAGATAGTGTAATTGCTCTAAAAAGTAGCAACATTAGGACTGTAATAAACAATTATGTAACCAAACTGCACAAATCAGTATCAAAATAATGTGAACACCTGGGAAAGGCGGTATTTCTTTACTACTGTTTTACCACCATTTTCACCAGTTAAATGTCATCTGTCAGTTGCTTCAGAGATGTCAAAGTAGGGAATCTGCTTCTCACTCTTCTCTCCAAAAGTGGTTATTGGTTGAATTTAATATTTGGATCAGTGTGTCAATTAGACTTCTTTCCTCGTGTCTCTTCCAAAGCCAAAAGTTGGTCCCCGATGTTCTTCAGCTCCTGCTCCATAGCTGCAGTCTGGTTATTTCAGAACACAATACATGTACTCAAGCTCCTTCAGCTGCTGAAATATATCACTCTATTGACAAGAATGAAGCTTTCTGATGGGATATACAGAATGAAGAATATATGCAGTGCATTCATAAACATTTCAATCCACGCAAGTACATGTGGATAATCTGCAGTTCAACTTTAATAACACAAAATAAATAATGAGGTTTTCTATTGAAAATTGACTTATAACAGCGTATGAAAACATTGTGCAATGAGGCATGCAAGCACGCTTAATGCATTCTGAGTAACATGGAAATATGGGAGACTCGCTAGTATGTAAATCTGGTTTTCAAATTTCTTTCTCATGGCTCGGAGGGTGAATCTCACAAAGAAATGTTCAGTTTATATTTCACATAACAATCAAAAAAACAAAAGAAGCCTATTTTTGGGCTCAATGCATTGTGAAATTACTGTTATCATGTTATCTCTGTTATACTGTATCACCATCATTAAACACACATTTCTTCAAAATTGTCATTAGTGCAATGCAATATATATTCTCATTAGTGGAGGAATTCATCATATACAGTGGGTACGGAAAGTATTCAGACCCCCTTAAATTTTTCACTCTTTGTTATATTGCAGCCATTTGCTAAAATCATTTAAGTTAAATTTTTTTCCTCATTAATGTACACACAGCACCCCATATTGACAGAAAAACACAGAATTGTTGACATTTTTGCAGATTTATTAAAAAAGAAAAACTGAAATATCACATGCCAACGTTTACCATCCAACCTGACAGAACAGGAGAGGATCTGCAAGGAGGAATGGCAGAGGATCCCCAAATCCAGGTGTGAAAAACTTGTTGCATCTTTCCCAAAAAGACTCATGGCTGTATTAGATCAAAAGGGTGCTTCTACTAAATACTGAGCAATACCAGAATACTTAGGACCATGTGATATTTCAGTGTTTCTTTTTTAATAAATCTGCAAAAATGTCAACAATTCTGTGTTTTTCTGTCAATATGGGGTGCTGTGTGTACATTAATGAGGAAAAAATGTAACTTAAATGATTTTAGCAAATGGCTGCAATATAAAAAGAGTGAAAAATTTAAGGGGGTCTGAATACTTTCCGTACCCAATGTATATATATATATATTTTTTTTTTTGGCATCACAATTTGGGGGAGGAAATGGAGTAACCATGCAAAAAAGAAAACACTTAAGTCCTAAAATAGGCTTCATTTTCTTCACTCAAAATATATTTTCCAATCGAATATTATTTAATTTTGGGTGAAATATGATATTTACAGTTTTAGTGAAGTAGAGCTGCCCATTCTCCTCTGTGCTCACCTTGTTCTCTGTCTCTTGTCTGACTCTATTGGGTACTTTTTCTGCATAGTTGGGCGTCTGGGTGCGAGCGAGGGCTTGTTTGAGTTTGAAGGCCAGCTTTTCTCTGCGCTGAGAGAGGAGAGCTCTCTGTTTGTCAGCATTAATACCATTCTGAAGGTTGACGGAGAGAAAGAGCCATCAGCAGTCTATATATATATATATATAGACACATCGTTTCTGAAGAAAGGAGAATCTTACTCCGCATTACCTGAACGCTGAGATGTAAGCAGATGGAGTGATCCACCACCCCTACAGCACTGGCCTTAGGTGGAGGAGGAGAGTCGGTGAAGCCTGCCTCTGGACAGTGTAGATGAAGCGCTGAGGTCCGGCCCAGCGTGCAGACAGCTGATCTGAAGCGCAGAAGAGTCTCAGCCTGATCCGGTGCACACACCGCCCACACTACAACAACACAACTATTACACGTCACATGATGAAAGATTTCAACTACTATATACATGATGTGCTACTGTAATAACTGCACTAAAAGGAAATATTGGTTTCCAGGGTCTTCTGTGTGGTTGCTAAGGTGTTCTGGGTGGTTGTTAGGGCTAGGTGGTTTCTTACCTGCCCAAGTCGCTAAACATTTGTTGTAGATTTTTTACTTTTACTTGTTAGTAACTTTCAAATTTAATTACAACGCAAATGGCAAGTAATACTTTAAGTAAAAAATAAATAAAACATATTCCAATAATCTGTTTTTGTTTACAACTTTGAAAAATCTGTTTTTATAGTGAAGATATGACCCGAGACGTTTATGTGTATGGACTTTTTTTTTTACGTTTTATTGTCTGGTAGGCAAAATCCAGCCGGATTGCTTAGAAAATAATTGCAAAGCCCTTAACAAGCTGCACAATTCAAAGTATCATTCATGTCTGTTGCACAAATGTTGCGAAACAATGACAGATCATACTCACCAGGTAGACGTCACACAGACCGTGGAGCCAGAAAGAGTGCAGTGCAGACGTGACCGTGTGGAGCTCGTAGCTCTCGAAACCCCTCTCACACTGCTGAACCGTGCTGTGCAGACGCCAACAGATCCACCTGTCCATGCTGGATAGAGGATAGGTCTAAGAGACAAAGTCAGAAATACATTAAAGCAACTGTATGCAAGTTTTTTTTTACCTTGAAATATCAGTTTCAAAATCATTCTGATGGTACACAGATTTATAATAACGCAAATGGCTCCCATCAAACATCTGTTCTGAGCAGGGTTGCCAAGTCCACAGTTTTAACCACTGAACTGGGCTATTTTTAAACTGTTCTCGTAAGGTTGACATTTTCCACACAGGTTTAAGGTATGATATAGTGCATACACTATATCTGACTGTAATTTTTTTATTTGAAACATTTTACCCATTTTATATTCTTCCAATGAAAAAAAACTGTTCTAGACAGAGTAAGGAGATTTTTGTGAAGAAGCGGTACTGGTAGGAAGCCTTTGAGCTTCTGTGAGTTTCTTTGTGAAACGAGACTTAAAAGTGTGTATAATAACGCATTACAGAGACTGTGTAAACTACGTATTTTAGGTATGAGTGAGAGGCATATTTTGATATTTGGGATACACTGTAAAAAATAAATCCGTAAAATAACAGAAAAAGTACTGGTTGGTAGCTCATTACATGACATTATCCATTAATTTAACGGACATTTCTATTAACTCTAAAACACAATGCGATGAAGTGTAAAATTCAAAATACTGGTAAAACACCTGCAAAAAATAAATACGGAAAAGTTTTGCCCGGCAACTGAGCTAGTTTTCTTACACAGATCTGGCAACCCAGGTTCTTAAAATAAATATTAGTTTGTTATGTGTTTTTTAAATGCTTCTGTTTAGAGAGCAATGTGACAAATAGTTATTATACAGTTTGTCTAAACATTTGATAACAGTAAAACCAGTAATATCGTGAAATAATATTACAGTTTAAAATAATGATTTTCCATTTGACTATATTTTAAAATATTATTTATTTCTGTGATGCAAAGCTGAATTTTCAGCATCATTACTCCAGTCTTCAGTGTCACATAATCCTTCAGAAATCACTCTAATATGCTGATTTGCTGCTCAAGAAACAAAAACATTATTATTGTTATTATTAATGTTGTGCTGTTTTTGTGAAAACAGTTTTTTAGGATTCTTTAATGAATAGAAAGTTCAAAAGAACAGCATTTATTTGAAAACGAAATATTTTGTAACATCATAAATGTATTTACTGTCACTTTTGATCCATTGAAAGTGGCCGTGCTAAATATTAATTTCTTTAAACCCCAAACCTTTGAATGACAGTGTGTACATAAAAATACAAATCACAACAAATAAGGCAAACTGCTGAAATTAAAGAATTATTTCATAAAACATTTTATATTTAAAAATACATAATTACTTCTCATTTAAAAAATATATACATTTTACTTTTCCTTGCCTTTCCATTACTTTCCTTCCTCAATATTCTCTTAAAAAATATTTGAAGCAGGCTGCCAGTATATCTAGTAACTGACACAAGCACACTGTGGAGCAAACACAGTTATCAACTGACGGGAATAATCTCAGCGAAGAACTGAGACTTCACCCTTCAAATTGATTTTCTGCCATTTGCTCCTACAAGTCATTTGCACTGGCACTCTTCCCCTTCTTTTATGATTTAGTCTCATTACACCAAACAAAAGCGAACGTGAAATAGCATAGTGCCAATGCGGGACAAAATACAGCACAAGATGAAGTGTGTACTTCATTTCAACTCAGATGCAGAACTATGGGGGAAGATCATGAAATCATGTCGGCATCATGCAGATCAGCTCTCACACTGTAGGCTATCACCCAGCGAGCAGCATTCGTCTGGGTAGTTTTATTGATTTGATGAAGATATATTGGCTGCCCTACCTCTGCTAATGACGTAGGTAAACTTGCATCATGCAGCGTGGCGAGGGTGAAGCGCACTGTCTGCCACATCTTATTACAGAAATGTCTGCAGCTCAGCACATGAGACACAGACAGGCTGGTGTCCTCTCCTGAGACAGGGTTCGAACAAAACGTCAGCAGAGGGAGTGAGGAAGTCTGGGTAAAGCTGAAGGTAAGGTTTGATTACGGCACTCTGTAATGAGGGCGACTTACCCTGGGCTTTATAAGAGCAGAGTGCGAACCTCAAAGCGTCTGTCCCGCACTCAGGAATCCCTTTAGGGAAATCTTTCTTCTGCAGAGAGGACACAGGAAATGAGGTGAACTTGTTCATTCGGGAACGACTGGATCACTGGAATGAAGCGAACCTCGTACTGACCTGAGCTTCCATGGCAACAACGCTTTCCCTCGGATCCAAGTTTCCTTCTCTGACTTTCCCTTGAAGTCTCTAGAGAGATGAAACCGGAATGTGACTGACGAGAAGATGAAGTCATCGTGACAAAGTGGCGATTAGAAGATTAGCCGTTTCATATATTCAGATTGCACCACGGATCGGCTGTGCTTTCAGAGCGAGTGGGGTCCGTTCTGCTCTGAGGCCTGGATAAAGACGTCTGACTGATAGATGTTCATCGCCAGCTGTACAAAGTCTTGTTATATTCATTAATATGTCTGAATTATTTCTTTTATTAATATACTGAGGATTTAGTATTCATAGGAACTAAAAAGGGCATGGAGTAAAAAAAAAAAATGAACAGGCATAGAAAGGACAAAGTTTTGAAACCTCTAATGTCAAGTCTAATGTTAGTCTAAGTCCAAGGTGAAATCTTTCCTGTCTACTAAAGACTTTCAAAGAATCGTCCATATTTTTATTTCAACTCGTCTGGATTATTGTAATGACCTCTATATAGGTATTAGTCAGGCCTCTCTCTCCAGACTGCAGATGGTCCAGAATGCGGCAGCTCGATTGCTGATGGGTACACGAAAGCGGGAACACATCACCCCCGTTTCTTGCCTCTCTTCACTGGTTACCTGTCCATTTTAGGATTCAGTTTAAGATGTTGGTATTTGTTTTTAAATCTCTTAATGGTTTAGCACCTAAATATCTGTTCGACTTGATTAAGCTGTATGCTCCGCTAAGAGCACTTAGGTCTGCTGACCATTTGCTTTTAGTTGTCCCACAGGTAAAGTTGAAGAGCAGGAATAGCTTGCCCCTCTACATTAGACAGGCTCAAACACTTGCTGTTTTTAAATCTAGCCTAAAAACTCATTTTTATAGTCTGGCATTTGACGCTACATGACAGCTGCTTTCTTCTATTGTTTTATGGCGTCTTATTGTCTTTTTTTGTGTTGTTGACTTTGTAATCACTGACATTTTTATTCTCTTATGTGTGTACAGCACTTTGATAAACACTTGTTGTTTTAAAAAAAGTGCTTTATAAATAAACTTTGACTTTTGACTTAATGGTGTCAAACTACAGAAGTGTATAAAAAACCTTTTCCCCAAATATATTCCAGTGTTATTTGATATACACTTGTGTAGTATTTATTAATATTTTGAATTGCATTTTATTTTTAAACTATCAGTTTCTATTTTAATTTTAAAGTTTTTGTAATTTTATTATGCTATTTTGTGATTATGATTTTCATATTTCTATTTAGCATTTAATTTAATAAAATTTTTAGTCATTGTAGTACTTCATTTTAAAACTTATTTTAAGTTGCCAAGGCAACATTTCTAATTCTTTTTATGTTTTCATTAAATATTTATATTTTATTTTCATTTCAGCTTTATTTTAATTAACAAAAATGAGTTTTAATAGTTTTAGTTAATAATAACAAAACTGGTCCACAAAATCCGTTCAAAAAATAAAAGATTTCTCTGTTAAATGGGAGTTTTGAGGCTTTGAGTCCATGTGTGTTAATTAGCAATGTACTAATATTAAATTCTGGTGAATATGTCAAATCAATAATTATTTTCAATATAATATCAAAATAGTAAATTGTATACAATTTTTTCTTTAAAAAAAACAACAACAACAACTAAAGACTAAAATAATTTGTTTGCTACAAATGAAATTAAGAATCACAACTTTATATACAATATGAAAATCTATATAAATTCTTAGCTTTGCATTTATATGAAAGATTTTAAAGAAAGTATTAAGTATTAAGTAAAGTATTTAAGTATTTGTAAAGATTAGCTTTGAGTGTAAGATGACGGCAAATGTAAGATCAATGTAAAAGTATAGAGTGTGCACAATTAAATATTCAATGTCAACAATTACTGATCAATTAAAATTATCTCTAATGTATATGTATAACTATATGTATTGGGCTTCACCACTATTAGCTTTAAAACACGGACCAAATATACTGATGACTCATCGCTTCGATTTTTGTCCAATCAAATGTGAGAATCCACCCCCACTAACACCACCTGCATTTGACTAGCAATATCAAGTAGCAAATTATGGTCACTGCTGTGACATAAACTAAAGGCTATTGGCTATTAAAAATGAAGACAAACTCTTTGATTGGCCCCACCCCAATATTTAGTTTCTACAGTAAAATAAACAGAGCAAAACCCAAGAGGGCCCTCATTCCATTGGTGCTCAGGCCCTAAATATGTCAAAACCACATCAATTTCATGGCATCTTCATGTTTTGTACTTGGTTGGAACAGGTCTGAAGGCCGAGAGTGCGTGTGTGTCTGTACCTCCAAAGAAACCCCTGAGATGACATCAAGAGGGTCAATGACGTTTCCTAAAGATTTACTCATCTTCCGCCCATATTTATCTCTCACCAGAGAGTGAAAGAGCACCTGTTTGACACAGTGACAGAGCAGAGAGAGAAAGAGCAATAAAAGAGTCAGAGCTGGACCAAACAGAGACATTTTGATGGCAAAACAGACGGTAACATTTCTCAGTGACATTTTGGATACTTTTGGTATATGACGCACACCGCAATAGAAATTTTCAGTTCCTGCCAACCTTACGATATGGCATTTAGAGTTATGAGCTCAGCAATAAGCCATCGACCCAACCTGTTTAAAGGGCAGCTGGCCTGTCAACTCTCTGCCCAGGATCACCATCCTGGCCACCCAAAAGAAGATGAGGTCACTTCCTGTTTCCAGAACGGAATTGGGGTAGAACTGTTTCAAGTTTTCTGTCTGAGGATAGAGAGTGAGATCAAAGCAGGTTCATTCAATATGTCAATACACTAGACTTTCTTCAGTGCTTTTTTTGTCTGGTTTCTTTCATGAGTTCATGATGTTGAAAGAAAAATGGACTTTAAAAATGAAGAACCTGCTGAGGCCAGCCGAGCATTGCGAACGGGAAGAGACCAGAAGAGAACCAAGTATCAAGCACATCTGGGTCTGAAACAAACATTTAAAAAAGTCAGAATTCAGTGTAACGCCGTGAACAGCCTGCATTATTGAACTACATCACTTGCTAAAATCTGTTTTATTCTTCTTCTTCTTATTAATAATAAATAGTTAATAATGGGGGGCTATGACAAAACGACAAAAAAGTGCCATAGAGCAGCCCAAATTATTATATTTCACGTCGTCTTCTTTATTAAACAGAGAATTCTTAACTTTTTGAGACATTGGTATGTAGTAGGTTGTATATTTGGATTAATTTTCATTTTTGTATGTTGAACTATGTGATGTGTTTACATGAGTCTAATGCTGATTACTGGCCGTGTCATTTGAAATCCAAAGCAAATTTCCCTAAAACGGGTCAATAAAGTATATATATTCTATACATTCTGAAAGCATATAACAGCTTTGTGTGAAGAACCAACCAACGTTTAAGTAGTTATTCACTGAACACTCTCAAATCTCATTCATGTGACTTGATTTTGAATAAGTGCATATCTGTTAGGAGTCATTATTAGCTGCACACAAAGATTTTTACACACAAAACTGTCAAAGGTCTGTATAAAGCATGAGTCATATGGACAGCGTTTAAGGTACATTTATGGTAATTTTGGTGACAGTCACTGGCCAACATTCACCTTCGTGAAAATATCTTAAAATTATACACTACTGTTTAAAAGATTTTGCAATCAGTACAATTTTTTTGTGGAAAGACATTTTATTTAGCAAGGATGCATTAAATTGAACAAAAGTGACAGTAAAGACTTTTATCATTTCAAGACTGTACAGTATCACAGATTTCACAAAGGTATTAATCAACAAAACTGTTTTCCACATTGATAATAATAATAATAAATATAGCTGCAAGCAGCGATTACCGGGGTTCAAGCACTTTGGGCATTTAAGCACATAAGGAAAAATACATTTCATATTATTTAGCAAGCGTGTAACCACCTAAATCAATTATTTAAAAAACATTTTTGGCAAATCCAGGCAATTTACCATAGAAATATTATATTTTTATAACGTTTATGACTGTTATAGCGCCAGCTGTGGTCCGATCTCCCTAAAACTTTGCATGCTTGTTTAGAATCACCTGTCGCATGTGCTCACTGGGTTTTGTGAAGTTTTTTGTTTAGGCTTTGTAGGCTTTTGGGTATATTTGGACACAAGCACATCTGGGTCTGAAACAAACATTTAAAAAAGTCAGAATTCAGTGTAACGCCGTGAACAGCCTGCATTATTGAACTACATCACTTGCTAAAATCTGTTTTATTCTTCTTCTTCTTATTAATAATAAATAGTTAATAATGGGGGGCTATGACAAAACGACAAAAAAGTGCCATAGAGCAGCCCAAATTATTATATTTCACGTCGTCTTCTTTATTAAACAGAGAATTCTTAACTTTTTGAGACATTGGTATGTAGTAGGTTGTATATTTGGATTAATTTTCATTTTTGTATGTTGAACTATGTGATGTGTTTACATGAGTCTAATGCTGATTACTGGCCGTGTCATTTGAAATCCAAAGCAAATTTCCCTAAAACGGGTCAATAAAGTATATATATTCTATACATTCTGAAAGCATATAACAGCTTTGTGTGAAGAACCAACCAACGTTTAAGTAGTTATTCACTGAACACTCTCAAATCTCATTCATGTGACTTGATTTTGAATAAGTGCATATCTGTTAGGAGTCATTATTAGCTGCACACAAAGATTTTTACACACAAAACTGTCAAAGGTCTGTATAAAGCATGAGTCATATGGACAGCGTTTAAGGTACATTTATGGTAATTTTGGTGACAGTCACTGGCCAACATTCACCTTCGTGAAAATATCTTAAAATTATACACTACTGTTTAAAAGATTTTGCAATCAGTACAATTTTTTTGTGGAAAGACATTTTATTTAGCAAGGATGCATTAAATTGAACAAAAGTGACAGTAAAGACTTTTATCATTTCAAGACTGTACAGTATCACAGATTTCACAAAGGTATTAATCAACAAAACTGTTTTCCACATTGATAATAATAATAATAAATATAGCTGCAAGCAGCGATTACCGGGGTTCAAGCACTTTGGGCATTTAAGCACATAAGGAAAAATACATTTCATATTATTTAGCAAGCGTGTAACCACCTAAATCAATTATTTAAAAAACATTTTTGGCAAATCCAGGCAATTTACCATAGAAATATTATATTTTTATAACGTTTATGACTGTTATAGCGCCAGCTGTGGTCCGATCTCCCTAAAACTTTGCATGCTTGTTTAGAATCACCTGTCGCATGTGCTCACTGGGTTTTGTGAAGTTTTTTGTTTAGGCTTTGTAGGCTTTTGGGTATATTTGGACAGGCCCCTTTTCTAAAGGACCCCGTTATAGCTTCCCAAAGGGTAAAATATTGTGTGCATGTGCGGAAAACCGCGCAATGTACAATTGTTTATGCCCTTAAAAAAAGCGATACCACCCCCCCAGTGGCCGATTTCTTTCAAATTTCTCACAGACCTTTGGGGCCGTGAGTCAAACAGGCCCACTGAATTTCGTTCAGATCGGCCTCCGTTAACCTTGTCTAATAGGTGCTCAAACTTCATCGGCCAATGGCGGCCATGTTTTTTTGAGATACGCAAATGCCCCCATAGACACTTGTGGCACTTTGGACCAAGACCGTGCACAGCGATTTTCATGTTGATAAGAAAAATGGTTGCCTAGTTATAGCCATTTTAATGTTTTTTTTTCTCTTATAATCGCCACCAAGTGGCCAATCTCCACGATTTTTTCCCCTGTGACCTCAGTTTGAGCTCTTACATAAGTGTTCCAAGTTTGGCAAAAATATCTCATTCTGTTCAGGAGTTATAGGCATTTTACTAAATGTGGCCCTGCCCCCTTTGACGTTTTGGCGTCCCTTCGCAACGGTAAGCGAAAGTTTAACTTATTTTGATAATTATTGATATTCACTCTCCAGAGACTCTTTCTGCACTGGTTTGGTTCCGATCAGGCGAAAAACCTAGGACTAGTTCGCAAAAGTAGGTTTTTCAAAAAATGTGAAATACCCAAAAATACCCGTATGAGCCAAGGATTGCAATGATCAAAGACCCTTGAGCCTGCGACTGACGGTTTAGGAGTTATGAGCGATTTTATACTTTCGATCGCTGTTGCGCCCCCCTCAGGCCGATTGGGGCAAGCCTCGGTCACGTTGTAGGCGGTGTGAGTACTACCATCCCTCCAAGTTTCAAGTCTCTACGACTTACGGTTTGATCTGCACGATCAGTTTTACATGAAAATCGCTCATCTGTGACCATTCTAACATTTACAATAGGGTTTCAGCGTTACGCGCTTGAACCCCTAATAATAATAAATGTTTCTTGAGCAGAAAATCGGCATATTAGACTGATTTCTGAAGGATCATGTGGCACTGAAGACTGGAGTAATGATGCTGATAATTCAGCTTTTCATCACAGGAATTAAAGGGAAAGTTCACCCAAAAATGGAAATTACTCCATGATTTACCAACCCTTTTTTCTTTCAGACAAATGCAATTGAAGTTATATTTAAGAATGTCCTGGCTCCTCCAAGCTTTATAATGGCAGTGAATGCTGGTCAAGATTTTGAAGCACAAAAAAAAGTGTGCCCATCCATCTTAAAATGTGCTCCACATGGCTCCGGGGGTTTAAAAAAGGTTTTCTGAAGTGAATCGATGCATTTGTGTTAGAAAAATATCCATATTTAAAACGTCATAAACCGTAATCTCTAACTTATCTCCGCTAACTGTCATACGAGTGTTCACGAGAGAGTGGCTTTCCAGCAGATATTACCACCAACCCTAAATATTTGAACAGTAGTGTAGATTATGAGTATTAATCATTGAAACAGAAGTGTGACTGGTGTGAACTCTCACCCTGTGTGAGTGTGATGGCATCAGGATTCACTCCAAACTTCACAGCGGCACGTTGTCGGGCCTCTGCAGCACTTCTGCCCCAAACCCACTGCTCCTGCTCCAGACACAGCCAAGAGTCAAAGTCAAAGCCTCACCCAATATGATCAGGCTCAATTCATAAACACATTATGCTGTAGCAGGTACATTAAGGCTACAAATACAGATTTCATGAAAGTGCCACACCTCTTCTGTGTCCTTTGAGTTTTCCACTGTCACTCGATAGGCTGGTATCTTATGACCCCACCAAAGCTGTCTGGAAATACACCAATCGCTGCAATGTGGAGATATACATGACATAAAAGCGTATTCAAACATGTAACGGAAAGAATATTATTAACATAAGTGTGGAATTTGTCAAACAAACAGAAAGACATGTACATGACCCTAAAAATACAGCCTTGCATAAATAAAAATAAATAATAAGGCTAACCTGATGTTGGACAGCCAGCTCTTCCACATTTTTGTGTAAAAGTGAGGAATTATCTGTAGATCTCCTTCTTCCACTGCCTAAACAGAGCATTTACATGCATGTCAATATGTGAGCTAACAAACAGAATAATGAAATTTCAAGAGTTAATTAACAGTTTGTCCACTATCTTCGATGAGTAACAGGTAAAGCGCTTGATGAGCCACACATTTGCTGTTACTCAAGGGAGTATCAGATACAGTTAAAACACACATGCATGTCAACGAAACTGACATTAATTTAACCATTTACTGTAAATGTGCATGCATGTTTGATAATGCAATACCCTTCAAATGTTTGGGGTTGGTAAGATTTGTATTAATGTTTTTGAAAGAAGTCTCTTAAGCTCACCAAGGCTGCATTTACTTGATCAAACATACAGTAAAACAGTAATAGTGTGATTTTTTTTTTACAATTTAAAACAACAGTTTTTCACTGTGATAACATTTAAATGTCATTTATTCCTGTGATCAAAGCTGAATTTTCAGCATCATTACTCCAGTCTTCAGTGTCTCATGATCCTTCAGAAATCATTCTAATATGCTGATCAGCTGCTCAAGAAACATTTATGAGTATTATCAATGCTGAAATCATTTTGACTGATATAAGTAGTATGTAAATAAGATATATTATGAGCCTTATTATAATTATGAGTTGAAAAGTTGCGTCCGTCCCACATACTGTGTGGTTTAGCACATCAGCATAATTTCTATCTGATGCAACCACACATTTAAAACACGCTCACTCACTTGAACTGCTTTTCTGCCCATTTCCTGACAGCGCACAAACCACTGTTTCTTCAGCAACGGTTCAATGACATCTCCAGAACGACTATGTGGGAGGAATAAAATCAAGATAGGACAAAAGGTCAAAGACTACTAGTATTTTTTAGCTGAAAGAACATGACAAAAATGTTTGAGGGGAACGGTGTGTCTGAGTACTCAAAAATGTAGTGAATTATAGCAGCCTGCAGTCTTCTTGAAATAAGAGGATGAGGAAAGGTTTACTGCTTGTGGTCTGATATACATCACTTTATCTGCAGAATGGTAATGACATGGGATGATCCTTCTTTCCTCTGAACAGCTTCCTCTCCATCAGCGCAATAATTACACATTCCCTGGCATCAAATCGCTTAACACCCTAAGAGACAAAATCATTACATGCTGAATATCCATACAAACATTCCTTTAAATATAGAAGATCTCTATAAATGCCTTATATAGACACCTTTAAGACTAGAGTTATCATCATCATTCAGTTGTTGCTCACAATTAATTCTAATGCATATGATTGTAATTAATTATTTTTTTATTGTCATTTTATTTACAATGACTTGAATCAAAGAAGGATTGCCTTACATTCACACTGTTCCTATTTGGAACTCAAATATTATACTATGGACCCTTGACTAGCATAGCATAGCATAGCATAGCATTGCATACAACACAACACAGCACAGGATAACATAACATAACATAACATAACATAAAACATAGTACAGCATAGCATATAACATAGCACAACATAACATAGCACAGCATAATAAAACATAACACAGAATTACATAAAACATAACATAACTTAACATAGCATAACATATAACATAACATAAAACATAGCATAGCATAACATATAGCATAACATAAAACATAACATAGCATAATAACATAGCATAACATATAACATAGCATAACATAAAACATAACATAGCATAGCATAAAACATAACATAGCATAATATAACATAAAACATAGCACAGCATAACATAGCATAACATATAACATAACATAAAACATAGCATAGCATAACATATAACATAGCAACATAGCATAGCATAATAACATAGCATAGCATAACAAAACATAGCATAGCATAACATATAACATAGCATAACATAACATAGCATAACATAAAACATAACATAGCATAACATAGCACAGCATAACATAACACATAGCATAACATAACATAAAACATAGCATAACATATAACATAGCACAACATAACATAGCACAGCATAACATAGCACAGCATAATAAAACATAGCATAACATAGAATTACATAAAACATAACATATCATAACTTAACATAGCAAAGCATAACATAACATAGCATAACATATAACATAACATATAACATAGCATAGCAACATAGCATAGCATAATAACATAGCATAGCATAGCATAACATAGCATAACATAGCACAACATAACACATAGCATAACATAACATAAAACATAGCATAACATATAACATAGCACAACATAACATAGCACAGCATAATAAAACATAGCATAACATAGAATTACATAAAACATAACATATCATAACTTAACATAGCAAAGCATAACATAACATAGCATAACATATAACATAGCATAGCAACATAGCATAGCATAATAACATAGCATAACATATAACATAGCATAACATAAAACATAACATAGCATAACATAAAACATAGCACAGCATAGCATAACATAGCATATAACATAGCATAACATAAAACCATAACAAAGCTTTAACTTTCTAGACCAGTCTTCTCACCATGCGAGGAGGCTAAATGTGGATATGTTGATCTGAGAGCCCTTTCATACTCTCTGTGTTTCATGATGCTGAGATATTCCTACAGCTCGCTGACCTTCGGTAATACATACTGTTAATGCATACTTAGAGGCCTACAGTACAGATGCTTTGACCTTTATAAAAGTCTTTCCACTGAGACAGACCTTCAGTATGTTCATCTCGGAGCCCTCTGATGCTCTTCACAATCCTACACCTCACTGACCCCTGTAATATATACACATTTAGATGCCTGCAGTTTCTTTTTTATTAAAGCAGCAAGCTAGAAGACTGAGAAATGTTTCTCTCAGTGCCTCTTGACACTCAAACTGAATGTGAATAATACAGATCAATGCTGAGAACTAAAGGCCTGTTCAGATCAAGGACGATAACTATAGGCCTATAGCTACAGCTATAAATCTAAAGTTTTAATAATCATTGTCATTTCATTCTGAGAATATGGAAATCCACACCACAGCTATAACATAACAACACAGAGTAATAAAACAGTTAAAATCACTTTCAGAACAATTTTTCCAGCTGATGAACTATAAAACAATGACAGCCAATCCACCCAACTTTAAAGAGCTAGCTTGAGCATTTAAAGGGACAGATGAAAAAAAAACAGCAGCGTGCGCTTATAATAAACTAAACATCATTATTCACTGGTGTGGATGCTAATATAGTTATTAAACAGGCCTTAAGTATTAACTTAAGTACTGTATTTTTGCTACAATTAGAAAAAGTCTCAAGTCAATGTTTTTACAATCATTTTCAATCACTAAACAAGTTGGGAATTACATTTACATTCAGTCATTTAGCAGACGCTTTTATCCAAAGCGACTTACAAATGAGGACAATAGAAGCAATCAAAACTAACAAAAGAGCAACAATATATAAGTGCAAATGACAAGTCTCGGTTAGCCTAACACAGTACATGTAGCAAGGTTTTATCTATATATATATGAATTAAGAAACAAAATACTGATGTTAAAAAATTACTGAATTCATACCAGAAGTCCTTACCAATATGTAGCAGAATATAGATATTATTGATTTTCTTTAAACAAGAGATCCGTTTTGCTAATGAGTTTTTACAGGTTATGGTGGTCAGATTAAACCTTGACTGTGAAAGGTGAAGTGATAATAAAATGAATCTAAATCCTCAAGTGCACAATAATTGCTGCCATCCCAAATGATCAATAATGTAATAATGGTTATGCAATAATTGTAATAATCCCACTGAGGTCACACCTTTAAAAGGGTCAATTGTAAAGAATCTCTGTACCTCTAGCCATTGGCCGCAGTCTGAGGTCATGGTCCCATCTCCTCCAATCACAGTGAGGCTTGGGAGTGAATGTCTCTGAGAGAGCAGGAAGTCAGTGTGGTCATGAGCTGGTGTCACTTTAACAGCACCTATGAAGGCAAAGCTGAAAGTCAGGAGCTGAGACTTAAAGGTGCAGTCACAAATTTCACAAGCAAAAAAATATTCACTGCCTATTGTCAATAGTGCAGTGATGTATGAAGCACAGCTCACACAGAAATCACTTTAAACTAGCAAATCTGCATGACCAACTTTAAATCAGTGCCAAATCTCCTGAAACCTATTTTGTCCTCACACAAAATTCCTGATCATGAATTCCAATTGCAATGACTGGATTTCGCCGCTGAACATTAATAAAGGTGAGGCTGCATTCTTAACTGATTTTTGACCAGTCAGGTCAAACTTTGTCCAATTTGTACATCAATAATATATTAACTCAGTGTTCATTAAACTTATTTTATATTTAATATACATAATACATTTATTTATTAATAAAGTACAAATATAGAATCACAAATTTAGACCAGTGTCACAAGTTCAAATGAACAGCCTCACAAAAAGAAAAATAATGGAACACTGGCTTGCAGTGTAAAAGTACACTAATTGTAATTTAACATTTTTACAATAAAAGATAGTTATTTCCAACAGATAAAATTCATCATGCACAAATAAATGACATACCTGTGCCAAATGTGCTAACAACCATAATGTCAGTGACGATGGGTAATAAGCGCTCAGTGAATGGATGCCTGCAGTGTTTGCCGTGAAGATCCTGAGATTAACATGGTGGAGAAAAGTGCTAGAACTACAGCTCTGCTTGTAACTTTAGCATAGTAGACATACTGCCTACTGCATACTAGATTTATCAAATGTAGATGAGTAGTACAGTAATATCCCATTCGACCATTCGTCATGTCAAGTCATATCGTAAGCACAGAGCAGACTACAAACAATCCATGTAGCGTTACTTTATATCGAGGGTCATCAGGATGAACAGCAATGGCCACGTCTCCCAGCATCGTCTCTGGACGCGTGGTTGATACTGCAACCTCTCCTTCTAAAAAACAAATCACACCTTATTACAAAACGGGTAAAATAACATCTCGAGAGACAGAGCAAACTGAAAAGTCCCCTCACCCTGTCCCTCCAGTGGATAAGCAAATGTAAGCAAGATCCCGAACTCCACTTTGTGCTGATAACCGGGAACAGACAGAAGAGTCCAGCCAGACAGCTCCTTTGAGTCCACCTGAACACGTCAAATCATGAGTTAGCCTGTGGCCAGGTTGTTAGACATGGAGCGGCTCAGTGATGTACCTCTGTCTGAGATGGCCGACTCTAACGCACCGCTCCAGTTGACCAGACCTTCAGAGCGGTAGATGAGCCCAGAGTCACACAGCCT